CATTAGAGATCAGCTCAGGCTTATTCCAAAGTCTGTGCTCTGTAAGTGGCTAGGAAAGGACCTGTTAGCACGGCAAGAATGCTCTTAGTTTTTTCCTAATTCCGAGCCTGGACTTCCATAGTGTCCCTCCTCACCCCCGTCCTTCCTGTTTAGTCTAGAAGGCCAGTCATCAAATCGGGACGTTTGGGATCAGACCCATCATCCAGCCCCCTCTTCTGTCTATCTCCTCACGGTTCCTTATGGGCTGAGCCCGCTGCTCTGCTGCGTGGCTCCGGGTCCTCTGAGGGACGAGGCTCCCTTATCTTGCCCCTCCACCAACCACAGGGAATCCTGTGTTTTGGAAGATTTTGCTTGCCAAAATACTGCAATTATGAAGATGTCCTATTACCATCACTTGTTACCAACTGCCCGTCAGAGCTTCCCCAGCACGAGGCAGCCAGTGCTGCACTCCCTGGTTAGCAACACTCCAGTCAACCCAAGGACAACGGCACAGGGAGCCTTTGCTGCCTGCCTGAGGCACACCAGGATTCTGAGTACTGAAAATAGCCCACAGTCACCCACTGTTATTTCTATGCCTCCTACGGTGGCCTGGGCCTCCTGTCCTGGGTGGCCCCTCCAGCTCGGAGACGCCACACATGATGGAGCTGAGCGTGTACCCAGATTTCTTGGCACCCAAGACCATGCTGTTTCCATTCAATCAGGCTAAACCTCACACACGCCCACAAACCATCAGATACGTCCACTCTTCAGGATGAGCCCTTGCTCCTTGGCCCGGCACGAAAGGATCTCATTGTCTGTCACTCCCCCAGTGACGGCTCTGCTCCCCCCCAGCATTCCCAGTGTCCCTCGAATAACTGCAGACGTCAGTGCCCTGGCCTGGCACACCCTACGTCTCCCTCTGCCTGCATGTCTGTACCCCTCACTCTGGCCTTACCCTCTCTGCCCCACCGTGTGGGTCAGCGCAGGCCCAGGGGTTATCCTCGTCGTGCGCAGGCCGGCAGAGCCAGCTGTTTGGATGAAGGCTCAGCCCCAGCTCTGCGCCTGTCTAGGCTTCTCCCCGCAGCCTGGCACCGAGCCTTGCACGTCGGGAGCGCAGCGAAGAGCCTGCCTGCGTGGTCTAGGCGTTTGGATTCAGCACTGTGTTCTGATGTTTCAGCTGGGGAAACCGTGGACCTGGGACGAGATCACAGAACCCTCACTGTTCAGTCTGTTCCTTGTTACCCTCAAGTAATGTCAATGGGGGTTTAAAATTTCCTTTTATTAAAAAGACTGGTGGGCCGGGCGCGGTGGCTCACGCCTGTAATCCTAGCTCTCTGGGAGGCCGAGACGGGTGGATTGTTTGAGCTCAGGAGTTCGAGATCAGCCTGAGCAAGAGTGAGACCCCATCTCTACTAAAAAAAAGTAGAAAGAAATTATCTGGACAACTCAACTAAAAATATATAGAAAAAAAAAGCCGGGCATGGTGGCGCATGCCTGTAGTCCCAGCTACTCGGGAGGCTGAGGCAGAAGGATCGCTTGAGCCCAGGAGTGTGAGGTTGCTGTGAGCTAGGCTGATGCCATGGCACTCACTCTAGCCTGGGCAACACAGTGAGACTGTCTCAAAAAAAAAAAAAAAAAAAAAAGACTGGTGAAGGAAGTCTCACTCCCCAGCAGAAGAAAACACTGTATCAGGCAAGTTCCAAGGCAGAAGCAGAATCTTTTCCTATTAATCTTGCTGACTTTTCCAAGAACCGCCAACAGGTGCTGGCTTGGAGCAGGGGTGGCTGAGAGTCATTCTCACCTGCCTGCCTGGGGCAAGAAGGAAGACAGCCAAGGCCTCTCTGCCCAGAGGGCCGCAGCTGGAGGCGGGGTAGCAGTTTTCCCACTGGATCCTGTATCTCCCTTCTTGCTCCCCTTTCTAGAACATCTGGCTTAGAGTGATTCAAACTGGTATTTTCTTAACATTTTGTTTCATTGTAGAAAAAGCCACCTTTGCTTTGCAACATATCCCAGAGAGGCAGACAGAGCTGAGTCTAATATCAGCAAAGGCCAGTGAGTCCCCCCTGCTCTCCTGTGGCCTGTACCTTCCTTCACAGGTGCTCAGGCTGTGGTGCTATTCCTGTCTCAATCACATGGGTTCATAGAAAGCTTTTGCAGACAGGGAAACTGAGGCAGAGGGTTGCAGGCACACAATCACGTATTTCCTGCCCCTGATGCCTTTTAGTGTCTAGAATTAAGGCTTAATTCAGTTACTAAATTATTAAGAAAACCTAAAACCTCTCCCTAAAATCTTTTATCAGCCATGTGGCCCCAGTGTTCACCCTGAGTGTATCGGAACACTCTCGACTTCCTGTGTGCTGGGAAGGGGACTCCGAGGACAGTGAGCTCAGGGCTTCAAAGGCTTTGGAGCTGTTATCCTCAAGAAATAGTTTCTTCTTCCCTGTGGCCTCTCTTGTCCCTGCCCTAAAGCCATTCTCTTGTTGGGGGGATACCCCCATTAGCTCTCAGCAGGCAGAATTTGTTCCCCTTCTGAAAAACACAAGGGCAACTAAAGAACTAACTCTCAGCCGTGGGGCGCCAGGGTGTTGATGGCCTTGCAGAATTTACCTCAATTCAGCCACCCAGACAAGGCTGGCCAGGGCCAGCTTCTTCCTGCCTGCCGGGTCCCTCCTGACGCTAGGTCGGGACAAGGGGTGCTGGGCGTTGCAGGGCCATGGAGGGGCTCACCCCCCCCCTGCTCCCTTGCTCAAAATGGAACGAGAGAAGGTGGCCAGGCAGGGATTGAAATGACAAACTGTGACTCTTCTACAAATGTGGAGGTTTATTTCAACAAAATGTGAAAAGAGTGCATTTGAAGCTCCTTCTTCATCAGGGTGTGTGTCCCACCGAGACAAGTGAAGGCCGCTCTGTGAACAAAGTGAACGGATGATATGGCAGTCTCGGCTCAAGCAGGTCTCGGTCAATACATCATTTATCCTCCTCCTGCCGCAGTGACCTTGCGTGTGTGGTGGGCTAGGGGAACATCAGACTGTGCATGTTCTGTGGCTCTGCCTGATTTCTCCATAGGAAAAATCCCTGTCCGGGGTAAGACCACAGTGAGAGCTCTGGGGCTGGGGGAGTGGGCATGACAGGGTTGTAGAGGAAACATACTCGTTCGTGTCATAATTCGGTGGGGAGAGGGGAGGTACACGAGGGTAACCCACCCTGCCTCTGAAGAAATGCCGGGACGGCCTCTCAGGGAGTGCAAACTTTGTACCACCTGTAGGATGTGGGATTTGGCTTACTGCAGAGAAGTACAGAGGGATAATCTGGTCAAAAACAAATCCAGTTCTTTCTTACTAGGAAAGCAAATAACCAGCAATAGTGGATGTGTCTTCTTGGACTGAGAACTGTCCCCCACCTTGTATGCCCCTCTTTGAAGGTGCCAAACACCTGCTCCGGCCAGGGCAGACGGGCTGAGGCTCTGGCTCCTGGGGGCGGTCAGCTACGTGTCCAGCCAACCCCTCTGCACATAGTTCCTGCAGAAAGGGGGAGGTGGAGCTCTTTCCTGTGTGTGAACTATAGGGTTAAGGCTCGAACTGTAGCGGGTGCAAGTGTTCATACCACTGCTGCTACAATGCCTTAGTGATTTCCTCCTTGGTCGTCAGCGACAAATGCAATTAGCTGCACTGTAGGAACCAGATGCTCCACCAGCCCTGATCACCTGCCTCTCTTGCTTTAGGAACATCAGTGGGGGACTCAGTATGCTCTTTTCTTGAATAAACTGGTTGTTGAAAATAAGCTCTCCCCACCACCCCTGAGGCGGCCCTGCTGCTGGCCGGGAGGGACCAGTGAGCCTGGAAGACAGCAGCACCATGACTGAGTTGGAAAGAATCTTAAGGTCACGTGGATCCTGTGTTTCCTGGAAGCCTCCCCACGCTGGGAAGACCAGTTCCTGGTGCTGAGGGCATAGCTGTCACCAGCGTCCTTTCAGCAGCTGTGGGGACACCTGCTGCATCTGTTGCCTGTGTACATTGTGGGGAAGAGACCAGACCCAAAGACAGTAGGAATGTCGGCTGCAAGGAGGGTCACCCTGGAAACAGGGCTGAGTGACTCTGTAGGCACTATTTACTTCTTGAAACTATCAAAGCTCCAGGCTCCATTGTAACAGCATTCCAAGTCCTATCTGGCCCACTCTCCACGTGGCAAGAATGACCAGTTTCCATCAGTGAAAGAAAGGGCAGTTCCCTCTGGCTCCTCCTCTGCCACGTCTGCCTGCAGCACTGCTTGTGGGCCCCCCGGCAGAGGGCTGGGGCCTCTCACACACCGGCCTTGCAGCTCCCAGCCAGATGCGACAGCCAGGCAAGCAGTGACGAGGAGGCTACAGGTAGGCCAGCCATCTTTCCATTTGTTCTAGGAGAATTTAACCCAAGGTTGAGGCCCTCTAAATCAAGAATAATAACTTGGTCTATTTTCTTTCTCTGCTTCTTGGATCATGGTTTTGCCCCATCTTTGAGTTCCCACGGAGCTTGCAGTAGATTACATGCTCTAATTTTTCTTCATAAATAGGTACCTCGGTGTAGTTAAACTGGGAATCATTTCTTTCCAGTGCCTAGTGTGTGTCAGGGTAATAAACAATGGGCTTAAGGTTTCCTCTTCTCCCCAGACCCAGTGCTGGGCTGAAGACCTCAGCCTCTGCCCTCCTCTGCGGCCTGTGGCTGCAGCTCATGGGGCCAGGGGCGAGAGGGGCTGCTGACTGCCTGCAGCTCCTCCCATTGCCCTGTACTGGGGCCGAGGGGCTGTCAGGACAGGAGGGGCAGCCCTGCTTTTGGGTAGTAAGACCTCATGGTACATGTTTGTACCTTTCATTGCCTTTTCAGTCTTGTGCAGGGAGAGAGGACTGTAGCCACAGCTAGGGTAATAAATACTGAATGGGACAGGTGTGACTGGCGGGCTGGAGGGGCCTTTGTGATCCTGTATCCCAGGATGTCATGCATGACCTGAAACACTTGAGGGGAAGCAATTTGCCACTTTGACTCCAGTGCTGGGTCTCCTGTGCCTTCTTATTATAGTGGTTTCAGTCGTAAAAGGCAGGTCTAGCCCTTTTGTCCAGAGCCAGGGCGGGGATGGGCAGGAAGCTCTTCCTACGTGGACGGGGAATCCATTGTGGAGAGGATCCGTATGACTTCTGCTCGCTGAGTGGGTGAGATGTGCTGGGTCATGTGGACGATGGAATCCATGGCAACCTCTGGATTGGCCTGGACCAAGCTGGGGAGGAAGATTGGGGATGGTGAAGAAAAGAGAGAGGCAGAAGTATCGAGATCAGGGCTGAAGAATTGCCCAACATGCTAAATAGTCCACTGCAGACACGTTAGCCACTGCCTCGCCTGGTTGGTTTTCCCACATTAAAAGTGGCCCCAGCAGCCAAGGTAGAGCAAGATGAACCTGAAATATTTTGCTCAGTTGGAAACGAAGGAATTTTTAAAAACCCCAGAAACAAAAACAATGGAGGCACATCACAAAGACAGCAGAGCCTGCATGAAAGGGGCTCCCACTGGATAAATCTGGGATAATGTGGGCATCAGATAAGCACAGTCATGAATTATAGATTAGTGAAAAATAGAAGTTCATTAGTCTACACCAATAATGGATATATAAGTGAATTGGGAGGAATGAGGACCTTGCTTACAGTACAATGTGAGTGGTGATGGATGATGGTGGCGGGTGTGCTAGAGTTGGAAGGTTATCATTTTGCAACCTCATTGTAAAGACTGCGTCAGGCAGGAATCACCCATGGGTGCTAAATCTTGGGAGAGGTTTTGATGAGGAGCAAGATATTGCATGGACTTAAAATGTCTCCCCACAGGCTACTTATTAGGTGGGTGTGTGTGTGTGTGGGGGAATCAGTAATTATACAGTAGAGAAGTTGGGTGACATCTTGGCCAGGTGATGGAAATTAACACTGGGAGGGCAAGTGAGCATCGTGTGCCGCCCTGTGATGTCCACACCATCAGGAATGCAACATGCTGGCCAGAACGCAGAGCCTGAATCTAATCATAAGGAAACATCAGGCAAACTCAAAAAGAGCATGTTCTATGAATGGCAGATTTCAGATAAAAGTTTTTAAGCAATGTTAAATTTACTAAAGTGGATCATTTTACTATGGTTCTCTAGAACAGTCCTGTTCTTAGCAAATGCACATGGAGGATCTGGGGGTAAGGGGCCATGATATGTGTAATTTAGAAAGAGGGAAAAACTGCACACGCACACGTAGGGGAGAGAGCAAGCACACTCACAGATGACAGAGCACGTGGAGTAAAACACGTGGAGTAAAACGACAGGCGAACCTGGGACACATACATAGAGGTGTTCTTTGTGCTGCTTTTAGTTTTATAACTTTTCTGTAGTGAAATGTTTCCAGATGAAGCTTTATAAAAATGCCCCCACAGTCTCCAGCGCCCATCCAAGGGAGAAGACTGAAGCCTCTAGAAGAACACAGCTGCCCTCAGCTGGGGCGGGGAGGAAGCAGTCCCACGGCGGGCTCTCCTCCCAGAACCACTCATCCGGTTGGAGTATCAGCCCTCAGAGCTAATAGGTGGGCACAATGAACCAAGCCTTCATCTAGCTGAGATTACTAAGTGCCCCTGGGGAGCAGTAGCTGAGAAAGAATTGTGCTTCAGGGCTATATTTGTATCAGTGGGTCAACTACAGCAGTCTCGAACAGCGAGAGCCCGCAGAGACCGGAAGGCATCGTCAGCTCATGATTTGTTCTGAAACTTTTTATTCCAAAGAAATTAGCCCCACTTCTCTAGAGGAGTCCCCCACTGCTGGTCTCACCTGCGGATCTGCTTGAGGACGTAGTCTCTGCTGATACACTTGATGTTTTCCTCTATCACTGAGCGAACACCATCTTCCTCTGTCAGCTGTTTCTCCAGCCATTCCACAAGATCCTTATTATTGTCCCAAACATAGGCCTGCGAACAGATGATTCTTGGTCAAACACCAGGGGTCAGGCCAGGCCTGGATACCTGACTGTTCAATATCTGATCTGAAAAGCTTTCTCCAAAAGTTTGCTCAACATAACAATGGTCACAATTCCCCTTTGCTGCTGGCATTGTAGTAGTCGTCTTAGGAAACAGGCCTCAAGACAGGGGCTTCCCTCCTTTTCCTTTCCTTCCGCGGACACACACGCATATCCAAAGCCTCCACCTGGGCTCTCCTGAGGGCATCAGTGCTCACACTCGGACTCCAGGTATCTACCTATTCCACAAAGGCTAAGAGAATTCAATAACCTGACAGGTTTGAGATAAACAGTGAAAAGCCAAAGTTACTCAGTAGCGTGATTGAGAGCAAAAGGTTGTTTACTTGGTGTTTTGTTTTTGGAGGAACTGAGACAATTCCTAACGTGCCAGTTTCTAGTCCCAGCTAGGCCTGGCAGATAAGGTCCGGGGCTGTATCTCAGCCCTCTGGTTGTGGAAGTCTCCCACCGTCTTTCAATGAAGCATGGAGGGGGACTGATGTGACCAAGTGTTGTCACTAGGGTAGAGCCACCAGGTCAGAAACCTAACCCCCATTTTATTATCTATGAGAGTATTCAAAAGGGTCATGACGTCTGTATCCCTGAAAGTGTCAACAAATCACCTCTCCCCTTTTTTCAAGATCATTTAGCTGAGTATTTCCTAGGTAGTTGACTACATAATAATTCAGGAGTGTGTTAGAAGCCTAATAGCCTTCTCCTTGCTCTCTTCTCCTCTCATTTTCTTTACAAATCATTTAGGAATCGTTTTGTTAATGGTTTCCGGAAAACCAAGTACCACCATTAGGGCTCATTCATATTTATGTCATTTTGTTTGGGTAATTAAACACAAAGCTCCTCATTTAAAGGTGCGCTATCCTTCTCTGTTATCACTAACGAAGTCAAAGTCAGAATGACAATGAGTTTGGTGCTGTAATTTAATACGTGGGTGCGTTAGGGACTCTCTGAGGCTTTGAGGCTTGAGATGTGGCTACAGGAAACCTGTATACGAGCAATGGCACAAAAGCCACAGCTGTTGAAGAACCACAGGGCCTGCAAAGGCACAGAGGAAATGTTTTCATCACGCCGAGAGACACCAAGCAGTAAGAGACTGAGCGTGGGGCTGTTTTCTAACTTTCTGACTCTCACTTCCCATCCCTACCTTAGCTGGCCAGTTAGCTGTGACTGGTTAGTTAATTACATGCCATGTCACTCACTTCCACATTTCTAAAAATTCTTAAGGAGTCCTTTACATTCGAAGGATTAAGGATCAACAATGTGCCTTTTCTAGCTCTCTGTCCATTTCTTCTGGCTCCAACTTTGCCCAGTTCTGTTTCTGTTTTCTTTTAAATTCATATCCCATTAAGATCCCCTATGCCCAGCTCAGTTTGTAATCACTGATGAAAAGATCAGCTCTTCTTCATTTAGGTGGTGTGGCCAAGACAGTGCAAACCTGAGCGAGCCTTTTCCACCTCTCTGTGCGGGGTCAGGACTACCAGCACCCCTTAAGGCTAAATAAACGGCAGGCAAGTGTTCTGTTCCTAAAGAAAGGTGGGGCCGTGTCAATCCCTATGGAAAAGTGCAGCACTGTTTTTCCCACGTGGGTGGGTGCCCTGGACTGCTAATCACAGCACCTACATTGCCACTTCCATCACTGGGAATTTATATTTCTACTCCATGGTTTGAGGACTTCTACACATTCCCCTACTTATGAAGATTTGGGGGCAAGGAAGGAAAAAAATAAAACAATGACTGCTTCTTGGGTTTCAGAATGAAAAAAAAAAAACCTAAGATTTTTTGATTTACTCAAGAATCCCAAAGCCTTTAGTTTAGGAGAATATTTAATACTCTTATTAATCATTTTTAATCCGTTTGCTTTTAATTAAGAAACAGCATGATGCTTTCCTATCAACATATGCCAGGGAGCAGATTAATTGTGGCTTAAGATAACTCTCCTTGATTGGTGTAATGTATTAGCTAACGAGACGCCTGCCTCTAACGCTGCTCAGACGCTACACTGGAAAGCCAGCTACCCTCCAGAGAAAACTCTTCTGCTTTCGCCTCCTGCAGCCACAGAGTGTCCTAGGTGTTTAAATTAAACATTTTTAAAAGTTCCCAGACAGGATTAGAACAGTACATTCCAAGTTCTACAGTTGCTTGGGCCCTATGTATAAATGGTCTATTTACTCAAAGTACAACAGCTGGATGACGACCACCATGCCAAAGCCCTGGTAAGGCATAGACTGCAGTCCAGAGCATGCGAAGGCAAAGGGGTCACAAGTCCTAATCAACTGCCTTTTTAGCAAGACTAAACAAACTTATGTACCCGTAGTGCCACTGGTTTTTCTCAGCAGACCTGGGAGGGTTAATGTAATTTGTTCCACTGGGTTATAGAGTCCATAATTTCCTATTTTCCCTCTTAAAACAGAGATGTAAGACTCATCATTCCAGCCATTCAGAAAAACAGGCCAACCCTCTTCCGAGAGAAAAAGCCATTATTATTTCCTTCCTTAAAATTATGAAAATGTTGGGTGAGGTAGCGCGCACCTATAATCCCAGCTACCTGGGAGGCTGAGGCAGGAGGATCACTTGAGCCCAGGAGTTTAAGACCAGCCTGAGCAACACAGTGAGACCCTGTCTCTTTAAGAGAAAACAAAGGGGGTTGGGGTGTGGGGATGAAAATGTGGCTGATTATTCCCATTCCCAGTATTCCAGTTTGGATTTTAAATAAGTGGAACACGCTGGGTTGCTAACCTCATGACAGGCCTGGGACCATATGCCATCTGCTTGACACTCATCCATATCAGAACACTTTAATACCAATAAAATATCAATAATTAAACATCACAACAATGGTCTGCCCTACAATAAATGTTCGACAGACACTCTCTCTGCATCAGTGGATAAGTATCTCAAGCACTACTCAGCCTTACTAATTGTATGTAGTAATTAGGCTATCTTACAAAATCTAAATGACCTGTTTGGAAGTTTCATTTCTAACATATTGGATAGCTGTTAAGCCCTCCTTAGACAACGGTTCGCAGGGCCAGGGAGTGACTGGAGGGCATAAGCCGATGAATGCGAGCCCTGATTAACGTGCCCTAAAATAACTCACCTTGGAAGCTGCTTGGGGACTCCTCCAGCTGGGGAGGTTCCTGCCAGTTCTGACCTTCTAAGACGTCTAGGAGCCCTGCAGCCTGGTGGGGTGGGGTGGCACACATATCCGGAATATATGCAGAGTTTGGAATACATTTTCAATATACCTCCACTTACAAGGCTAAGACCTACCTGACGGAAGCCCAGGAAGCAATGTGATTTCTCTCAGAGGCTTCAGAGTACAATAGCAAAAGGCCATGTGGACTAGGGATGGCCCACTGGACCCCAATCTTCCGAGAGCCATCCCATCTCAGCTCCAGGCCCACGAAAGGGCCAAGCAATTGTCTTCCAGGTTCTGCCTTAGCTCCTCCTCCCTAGTCCTAGGAGAGAAGTTGGCAGGAGACCTACCCGTAGGTAGCTTGAGGCCAGACTTTGAAGACAGTGGCAATCAAGTGACCCTAGCAACAGTGCTTTTTCCTCCATCATCCCCACAAGTGCCTCCACTAAGCACTCATTTCACTGGGAAATCCAGAATGAGAGCTGTGGGTAGCTATCTGGACAATGAGGATGCATATGGCACCAGGCTGTGGGTACATCAGAGCGAGCCAGCTCAAAGAACAGTTACTGAGCATCTACTGCGCTCAGGTGCCAACCCCCCTTCCTGACAAGATCATTAAGTTACACATCTTTACCTCTTAGTCTTTGTTATTTTTTACCTTTTAACATGCTGTGCTGGGGCAGTGGGGGGAACTAGCATATCTTGAGCATCTACTGAGTGCCAGACACTGCTGCATACTTGCCATGTTATTTAAAACTCACAGAACCCTGTGACATAGCACCATCTCTTCTTGAAACTTGAAGAAATGGAGGCTTAAATATGGCCAAGCCAGTAAATGGTGAAGCTGGGACCCCAAAAGTTTGTGAGATTTCAAAACCTACATTCTCATTGCTCCATGCAGAATCCTAATCTCAATTTCTATTACTGGGGATTAGGGGGGAAAATCAGCCTGTTTGAAAAACCACATACTTCAAACTGTGGATCTAAGAATCAAGACAGAAAACATGCCCAATGACACAAACGTGTGCCATGTTCTTATGACCCAATTTAAACCACAGTTCTTGTTATTTTTTTTCACGGAGCTGTAGTGACGCTTTGCTTCTGCCTGCAGTGAAACTATGGACCATAAACTCTACTATTTCCTACAGTATGACTATCCCAGTGGATTCAAACAGAATCCCATAACTCATAGTAACAGATACCTCTAAGGGAAACAAAAGAATTACATTGCTCAGTTATATAACATGACGGTGTCTTCAATTTTCTGCCCCAGAATCTCTTTTTTCATGATTAAGATTAAGAAAACAAATTCTCTGGAAAAAAAGAACACACAGCATGGCTAATAGATGCTTATCATGAAATGTCTCTTCCCCTCAGTAACCACAAGGATTAGAGGGTCCCTTCTTGGTGCAACGTCAGGGTGTAGACTTAGCCAGTCTTTGCACTTGAGACACAACACACAATATCTAATCACTGTTTGAAGAATCCCCCTGAAAAGGGTGGTTTTAAGCCATTTCCAAACACCACGCAGATTCTACAACAGCCCTTCAGAGCACACAGACAGCTTTTGAACATTGCAACACTTTCTTCCCTCAAGGGCGCTACAGATTTTATCACCCACCCCACGTTAAACTGGGTCCTGCTGAGCCTGCAGAATATGGAAGAAGGTTTCAAAGCCACATGCCCTGACATCATAGGATCACTGTCCTTACTTTCTTTCCCCAGCTGTCCCCTTAGATACAGAGCTCATGATGATGCTGCTTTTTGTAGACAGGGGAAAGGGAAACAGCCTCAATTCTTGGGTAGGTTGGCTCCCAGTGCCTCAGGCAGCCGCCTCCTGCACTATGGGGCTGGGCTTGTCTTATGCACTTGAGTTCCAGCCAACCAGGAGCTTGTGCACGTACAGTCAACTGTTCCCTCCATTGATAAGAGATGCCAGTGACCTATTTCTTTAGATACACTGTTCCCCTGGGAGCAGGAGTCTAAGGAGCAACTGAAGGGCCTATCCACTCACTTCATGCTTGGAGGGAAGCTATTGCTTCTCCTTATCCTTGTGCCTACTGAGGCTATGCACGTCCATTAGTGACTAATGTGGTAGGGAGGCGGTGCAGGCTTCTCCTGGCCACACACACACATACTCCATTTACCTAGCCGGCCACTCTTAACTGGAGAACAACCTCTTATTTTACACTTGCGTGACTTTCAATGCCAACTTCCACTAGAAGCTGCCAGTAGCCACTGACAAAATTGTCTCACTCAATTATGATGCCACAGACTGACCTTAACCTGAACCAAATGTCGGAGGAGACTGTGCTCCCCCACTGCACATCTGAAATATTTATCCAAAGCAGCTTTTCAGTCGAAAAGAAACAGGCAGACTTAACACAAAGGTGAATCTTAGAAGCATCCCAATTCACTGGCTTTAAAACTGACAGCAAATCTTGGCGTTCCTCCCCGAGAATGATCCAGCAACGCTTTCTAGAAAGAGGCTGGGGAGCCCCTCTTTATGGGCCAGGACCCTTCAAGCCATCAGCAGCCACCCAGCCCTCCATCAGTACTCTAACTCAGAAGTCAGCTAATGATGTTTTTGATCACATAGCTCAGAAAGATAGACAAATATATTTTGAGCACATATTACCAATGTTCCAATAAAATGTATATATGATGTATATGATTTAATCCATAGTCTACTAATAAAGGTTAATTTTTCTTAATAAATAGAAATAAAAGTTCCAACTTTTTCTTGCCACCCTCCCATGGATTGCCTTGTGCAGTTCACTATCCCAGGGGCAAACGCTGGTGCCCCTGATACGTCATCCTGGCCTAACACCCTGAGGCACGAGCACTGGGGACACCACCTTGGCAGGGGCACTGCTCCAAGTCATGTGCCCGCTCCCTAACTCCTCCCTGAGAAGATGCTGGGTTCACAGTCCCCTTTCCCTCCATGCAAGGCGGACATTTCCTTCCAGCTCTATTTGAAATGAGACCTGTGGTTGCAGTTGTAGCACCTCCTGCCTACATCACTATCATGTCCTCTCAGGCTTCTGCTCCTGTCCCCTGCAGTTGCACCTTCCACACAGACCCCCGAGTGGTCTTTCTAAAATAGAAATCAGAGCACGTCACTCTGCTGCTTAAAATACCTCAGTGGCTTCCCAGACGTTGACACAGCTTACACGGCCTTGCACAATCAGGCCCCTGCCCCATCTTCTCACCTGGCACCTAATCTCTGAGCCATCCTGAATATCTGCAGGTGTTCCTCGGATGCACGCTACTCTTGCTATCAGGGCTTGGAACGTGCTATTTCTTTTGCCTGTAACATTCCTCCTACTCCCCAGCCCCCAATCCAACCTCTTCCTCTGATTCATTCCTATTTTGTTTTTTAGTCTCTGCTGAGACATCACTTATTGCAGAAGCTTCCCAGACTCTCCCTCCCCCTTCCCGAAGGGTGCGGCAGGCATCCTCTCTGTGCTCACTGACTAGTCTTTTTGCTGTGTTTGGCATTGGCCTCCCTGTTATGTAACAGGGTCTGTGGACTTTTAGACAACAAGCCTCACCACCCTTGGGTGGGGGTGAGGAGCACACCACGAAAGCCTCTCTGTGGGCGCCCCACCTACCTTCACTGTTCCTTCCACTTCCACAAACCAGCGCCTTAACATGGCCTGGATCTGGCCATCGGTCAGCTCGGGGTTGGCATTGTGGATTTTCTTCTTGACCAGCTCCTCCAGCAGGAGACGCCTTAGCCGCCAGTAGAAGAACGTACGGGATGTTTTCCAATCAAGGATGTCCTACGTGCAGGGAAGAATAAGCTTAGTCACCACAGTCCTAATCTCTGCTCAGCGTTCAGTTGGAGGGAACCCCACAGACATAAAAACCTGCTCTCCAGGCCAGCCCTTCACAGACCCAAGAGCTGGCTGTGAGCTCCCAGCACCTCCACACGTTCCCCAGGCAGAACCACACACATGGTTCTGTGTGTGGTTCAGAACCACCTCCAGCGCTGTGCACAGCCATAGGCCTGCCCCATGCTGAGCCTACACGTGGCTGAGACCTTCTGGAAAGAGGCTGTGAATTCCCGGATAACCACAGAGGGAGGAATCAGTTTTGAGCAGATGGCTCCAACAACTTGCAGATCAAATATGAATTAACAGCTGCTGAAACCTTGACCCTGTAGTTATCTATAGTCTGACGACCACTGGGCACATGTGACTCAGTTTCCCACCAGTAAAATGCAGCTTTTCCCATGGACCTGAGGAGTCTATGGAAACCTAAATACACATTGTTTTAGGATAAGTGATATAAGGGAAAAGTCTCAGAACAATTTGAAAATGGTTTGCTCTGCATAAGCTGTTTTAATCTGGCCCTGCCAGCCCCCTGCTTGTGAGCCTATGTGCATGACGCACACACTTATCGCTCGCCCGCGGGTCTCTGACAAGTCAGAAGTGGCAGCCATCATACTTACATTAATAACACCCTTCTCCTGCATCCGGCCTGGTGTGTCGTGCAAGTCAGCAAACTGCACAGCTACCTGATGGTAAATGGGAATTAGGAATTCCTCCCGCTCCTTCAACTTGTTCTCCAGATCCTTCCGCTCAGCTAGGCTTAGCTCTGGGGTGCCTGCAATTAGATAAACCTGCCTGTCACCATGTGTGGTGACCAGGAGTCTCTCTGCACAGAAGCAGCCACAGTCCCGGGAAGTTCAACACCGCCCACCCCGTGGCCTGGCGCTCCATCATCCTCTCGCTCTTTGCTACTCTTGCTGAGTAACAGGATTCTCCAAGATGCCAGGCCTGTCCTTCCCTTGCCACATGGAGCTCATATGTCCTCTCTTCCCTGTGGAGGTCACAAGTAAGAGTGACAGTGGCATCCGCTGTCCCCAGGCCTCTCCCTGAGCAGGGACAAACAGCCGCCTAGAGGTATGTACCACTTGCTGACTGCCAGCCGGGCTCCTCCCTTCCCAGGAGAGGCCAGGGCTGGCATGCTGACACCATGCCCATCCCTGCTGACCAGCATTAGAGCGGCAGGACTGTTCCAAGCATGGGCTGTGGTGGGAGAGCGTCCCTAAGCTCCAAGTACAAGCCAGCAGTTCTTGTCCCCCAGTTACCTGCCGAACTTGGTAAGAACCTGAATAACTCCCAAAGCTGCAAGCCGCAGTACTTCACAGCGTCTAATCTCAGGTTTGGATACTCTTAACCTCAAATTAGTAGAAGCTAATCTAATTAGAGCCAGATCTGTGTGTCTTGTGTCAGCTCAGTGGATTAGCCCCTAGTTTCCTGCCTGGACTGCTACTGCCAGAGCCAACACCTGACCAGAGTGACAAAGACGTTCTAGTTCTTGGGATAAAAGAAAAGGAAGAGGAAAAAAGAGAAAGCAATCAACAAACCTCATTTGTATCAGTGCACTTGTAAGCACGATACCCTCACCCAACAGATAGGAGACTTTGGGATTCCTTATAACAAGGAGGGACCTCCCCCCGGCACCCCCCCAATCAATAGCGTCCCAGTAGAGGTGCTGCTATGTTGTGCTGTTCTTCTTAATTACTCTCAGAATGGGATCTGCAATCAATACTGAAAATTCAGCTGTCTGCCTAGCAAGGAGGAGTAAGTCTAGCTGAAGGAGCAATAATAGGTGACAGCCCCTGGTGTTGGGGACAACCTGAAGTGCTTTGTCACCAAAGCTGACAAATAAATACATGAGCACAGGTGATGGGATTCAGAAGAGAAAGGTCTATTTCAAGCATGCCTGTCTGGGAACAGGCCTTGTTTTTTATACCACTATGAATCATATGCCATAAACAGCCTTGGGCTGTTGAGTGAGCCGTAAGTATTATACATAAACACATGTTAACAGAACAGGGATGTAACTGTAGTACCTAGTTTGTTTGTTTTTTTTTAATGAGTTTTTTGGATGCCCTTTTTTTATTTTTATTTTTAAGCCCATCACTATTTTAAAATTGTGATGAAGGGTGCCAAAGACTGTCTTTTTTGTGGGCTCTCACATGGAGGGCAATCGCTGATCTGCCACGTGAAGCCCCCGATGCCTCGGCAGCCTTCCTTCTAAAACAGGCAAACAGCACGAGTGCTCTGGGCCCCACGCTGCAGGATGACACGAAGGCCCATTCGTTCTAGTGGGGCTCTGCCTAGAACGGTGGGAGGAGGGCTGGCTGGTGTCTTCTGAGATGAGCCCCTCTCAGTCAGAACACCCTCGACAGAGAAGCAAATGTTGTTTCTTCTCCACTGAAAGGAACCCAGACTCCCTGGAGAAATAGCCAATTCCTGGGCTGGGGCAGGGAAAATGTAAGATGAGCCTGGGACATATTGCGACAAAAAACTAAGGAAGTACTCGAAAAATGATTGGGACATCTCAGAAGAAAGCAGGAGGCAGTTTGAAAATGTTCTCACTGGCCAAATCTGGGATAGGTGGCGTCAAAATAAATAGTGACATTTGTCCTATTTGTTATCAGATAGAATATTTAGGGACTAAGATAATCTATGAGTCCATCCTGATATAAATAATTAAACAAGGGGAAGGGGAACACACTCCCTTCCAGGAGAATAACAATTAGGAGGAATGATGGAATTAGAAAAGCTCTGTTTTACAACCATCATAGTAACTGATTCTGCCCAGAATCATCAGTGGATGCCAAAACTAGTGGGTGAAAGTTTGATGAGGAACAGGATAGTCACATGGTCTCAAATTACCTCCTTACAACTCACTTATTAATTACAAGGGGGAAAATGGTAACTTTATAGTGGATTAAGCTAGGGCTGCAGTCCCCAGTCCCCAGGCCAGGACTGCACAGTAGGAACCCGGCTGCACAGGCGAGTGGCAGGCAGGGAAGTGAGCCCCACCAGCTCCCACAGCCGCTCTCCATAGTTCACATCAGTGCCACGCAGCGTCCCCATCAGGTCAGCAGCTGCATCAGACCCTCACAGGAGCTCGAACCCCACTGCAAACTGCGCATGTGAGGGATCCCTTCATGCTCTGCATGAGAATCCAATGCCCGATCTGAGGTGGCGACGCACTCCCCCGAACTGCCCCTAGAAAAACGGTCTTCCACGAAACCGGTCCTTGGATTGGAGACCACTGACACAGGGAACACAACCTTAAACAGGTAATCAAAAGTAACATCACCAATAATAGGACAGACTGACACTGCATGTCTCCTGATATGATATCCTGAGAAGGACTGAATACCACTTCTGCAATCTTCCTGCCAAAAATGCAGCATCTGAATCCAACCATGGGCAGATATAAGAAAAACCTGAGCTGCGGAAATATGCTACAAAAGTGGCCTGCACTCTTCCAAAATGTTAAGATCATGAAAGACAAAAAAAGGCTGAAGAATTATTCCAGATTAAAGGAGACTAAAATACTTGACCATGAATTGCAATGTGTGGTCTGGAATTAGATCTCAGATCTAAAAACTGGGAAAAAAGCTATAAAGGACATTACTGGGACAACTGGTAAAATTTTAATATGAATCACAGATTAGACAGTGGTATTGTGTCAATGTTTATAGTTCTTGAGTTTGATAAGTGTATTGTCATTATGCAAGAAAAAGTCTGTGTTCTTAGAAACACTCAATAAATATTTATGTATAAAGAAGCATGGTATCTATAGATTACACTCAAATGGTTCAAAGAAAACGTGTGTGGACCGACAGAGTGAGCAGCATACACGTGTAGGCAGGCAAAAATGATACGGCAATGGGATGAGATATTAACAACAGGGAGATTTGGGAAAAAAGTATCAGAAGTTCTTTGTATTATTTTTATAACTATTCTGTGAAATTATATCAAATAAAAAGTTAAAAATATTAGGCAAGCTGGAAAAAAATTTTTCCTGGGTATCCAATGCACACAGTCAATAATCGAAGCTAATATTTACGGGGCACTGGGCGCGATTCATATAAAGTGCTTTATATCTGTTAACTCATTTAATTTTCACAAACAACCTTGAGATTAGTGTTCGTATTATCCCTATATTACAGTGAGGAAACTGAGGCATTGAGAAGGTCATAAAGCTAGAAAGTGACAGAGCCAGGACCCAAACGCAGCAGTTTGGCTCCCAAAGCTTTTGAGCACTATGTTAAGCTGTTTCTTATTTGCTTCCTTGGGGCAGAAGATAAGTGCTTCAGTAGTAGCATCCCTTTAAATTCAGGAAAGGCTAAGTGGGGATGACAGAATCCTGGCTGATAATGCTGAAGTTCCATCTTAGTCCCATTCCATAACTAAGACCAGGAAAATGTCTCCAGTAATTCCCATTCTGTAGGTCAGATGTGATTTCCTAGGCAGAACTAAGATTTAGCTTCCCTTGTTACTGTGAGAGGAAGAACTAACACTACAGCGGGCGAAATCACAGCCCTGTGGGGCAAAGGCATGGCAGGATCATGGACAGGGCTGAGCAGGGAGTGCTAGACCCTTACAACATTCTCCCTCTGAGTAAACAGCCAACTCTGCACTTGAATGCACATAGACATACACATGGACCACATATAACACACCATTTGCTGAGCACTTGCTGTGCGCCAGGCGCTGTACTCAAATCTTTCAGGATCATACAGCTCGGAAGTCACCACACACAGTTCACGCCTGTGTCTGTTAACACTGCTGCCAAGTTGAGTACCTCAGCGTTACTGAGAGCTTTCCAAGTCGCTTATATACGTTACTTCTAATCCTTATAACAACCCAGCCTTACAGACAGGGTATCTATTTTACAAACAAGAAAACCAAGGCTCTGAAATGTAAAGAGACTTCCCCAATGGCATCTCGCTCTTAAGGAGCAAAGTCAGGATTTACACTTGTTCTGCCTCTCTGCAAAGCCTGTGTTCTTCCACATTAATGGTACTGAAGGCTGCCAAGCAGGTATCATGGAAGTGACCACACAGGGGAAACCGGCTGGAGAGTTGGTTTGTTTTGTTAGGGAGGAGTTAAGAGCAAGGCTCAGCATTGGCTGCAGAGGAGGGAGGGGCTCTGGGCCGAGGAGGAGAGGATTCTGGAAACAAAGCTTTGGCTTTACCAAGTCGGAAGGACAGAGGCTGGCTTCTAGGTTAACAAAGGTCTTGCCCACTCAATCAAGCTATTCTAGAGCTGTGAAAGAATAACAGAATAGACACCTATAACGCCCCGGCCCTCCTGAGACTAGGAAGACCACGGGGCATTCCCACAAAGGCTGCCTTGTTCAATGCCTTCAGTAATGCCTCTGATCACAGTTCAAGACCCACCTCAAAAAAGCATCAAAGCAAGGAAAAGACAGAAGTAGAGTATATGTGTGTTTTTAAATGCACGTGAGAAGGCCAAGGATGTGTGTCCTGTGTTTTAGGGAGGAAAAAAGGTTTTTAAAAATTTATTTCTAAAAATAAAAGGCTGCTTGTAAGCTAGTTATACCCTTGTGTTGCACACCGAGGGCCCCTCTCTCCTTGTACAGCAAAGCAGCCAGCCCCAGTAATGATTTAGGGGAGATTAACAAATATGTCAATGTCTATTTTCTGCTTAATTTAAAAGCGGCGTCTATAAAGATTTTTGACTTCTGAACCCTGTTCTCCTGAAAGAAAGAAGGTAAGAATGAGGAGGGGGATAAAGAGTGATTATCCTATCATTGATCGTTTGTCAGGA